CTACCTACATAGTAAACCATGATTGCTTTCTTTCTGAGATCTTGTCTTCTATCCAGATATTAGAAATAAATGGCCAAGAGAATCGGGCTAGGCCATTCTAATTTGTGTTATTTGTGAGAGGCCTAGTGTATGGCAATTCTCACGCTTGGCGAAGCAGTCAGCCTTCTGAGGCTCTTGGCTGAACACAAGATCGGCAAGTCATTCTCTATGTACCTAATGTATGTATGTACGTATGAACAGAACTGTCCCTTTTTGTTTCGCTTGGCTGATTTACCATAGTTAAGAGTCGCAAGAAATTGAATTAGCGAGATCGAAACCTGGCGCCTCGTCTTTCCATGTCCATGTCCCCCATTAACGCATTAACGGGAAGGTCTCTAGTCCTCATTAGCAAAAGGGGCTGGTCCAAATTACTTTGAGGGATTTATTCCATAGCCTCGGCCACGTACTAATCGACATGGTTACCCATGGGGTACGTATCGGAAAAAAAGGAACCAGTGTTGTATTTTCTTGGGCGAGGCAATCAAGTAGCGTCTAGCAATTCGGTTACCGTCGATGACATTGAAATGATGACAACCATTGAGAACCGTAGCCAGCGCAGCCCGAAACGCTACTATAATTGTAACCGGGCAGTTCGTGATCTCTGAGTGGCCGCCCCTAATAATGAGAACCTCCAAACGTGGCGTCTCAATCCATGCCTCAACTAAGAAAAGCCTCATAGCCTACCGTCGTTGTCAGCTTCAGCAAACTAACGTGGAAGTGGCGGTGAATAAGCGTTTTGGTGATTCAACCATCTCGGTCAACCAGCGGGACTCGTAAGTTTTCAAGTGTACCAGCAAAGTCCAACTAGAAATTCCAATCTCGCCTACAGGGAACGCACGTACATAGTAGGTAACTCGTCTCGTGCAAGAAATCTTCCCAGCCTGCAGGAATCATGACGAGCAGGTGTTGGGGCAAGACCGTCAGCAAAGCATTCTAAGCTAACATACATAAGTCAACATCATTGGTAAAAATCTCTCCGCCTCCAGGTTTTCCCCACGTCAGCGAGAGAAACCCCCTTGTGATTGTGCTCACCGTCGTGTGCTGTCTTGCCTTCTTCGGGGTCAATGGAAGTCCCCGGTTATTCGTCATTTGCAAGAAGCTTGTTCTGGTTGTAAAGGCAGGCTTGCGAAATTAGCCCCCATCGACGGCACAGACCATGATGTTCATCACGAGCCAAGACGGGTACTAAGAGTAGTGCGTGGTGCGTAATAATTACCCCTGCCCAACGCTTCATCCCGTCTTGTCAGTATCCTGGAGACACCCGTCTTTTCGACACCCTTTTCCAAAGCCTTTGTACACAATTTCTAAGCAGGTCGACGAGACGTGTGTGTAAGACATGCTTGTACCGCTGCTTACTTTATCCCCACGCGACCGCTCTACGTATATCCAGCTTCCTGCTGAAACATGCAAAGTGTAAAAATACCTCATGCTGACACTTCTAGACCGCGTTCCAACATGTTTTGTTTCTGTTTATGTACATCGTACAAGGTGACAGTAGACCTGCCAACGTGCTCGGGAAGTACCGCAGACTACATAACCGTCCAAGGTATCATATCCAACGGCCCCTTTTTCAAGGATGGCGACGACGGCTGCCGGTTATGAAAGCTGCTAGGTTAATAAGTCCGACGTGCCTTGCTGTCGGCTGCGCGACTCGCAAAGTCCCACTGCCGTCCCTGCCAAGTCGATTGTGGTAGATCAAATCTCTTGGTATCTAAAAGGACTGGCTACAAACCTCGGTCCGACCATACTTGGCGCGTCTGCTAAGAAAGGGATCGTGTCCTTGGCATCGCCGACTGGCGAAAGCACTCAAATTGGCTGCCTGGGATCCCCCCCTTCCCTCCTTTATGTATAAGGGGGCAGCCATCATTACCGCGTCCCACCCGGAGAGTCGTTTACGGGGCCAGAGGGGCCTTCGGTCGGGCTGCGTACCGGAATGTAAAGGCACATTCCCTACTTAAACTTAACTACCTTCCGATGCACACCTTGGAGACGAGAAGGGGGTCCGGGGATGTACGACAATTATGCACATCGGCTGAGAGGATCTCTGGGGGACAGTGCAGTGTTACAAATTAAGCATGCACATATGCTTTCAGACGAGGCGAGCGTCCGCAGTTCCTTGCGTCTCGCCCGAAACTGGCGGGTTTCGCAGGTGGCCGCTCGTCTAGACAGTTGCGTTTCTTGCCAAGGAGATGTGCAACGTGCCTCAAGTTAAAAGGCGACGATTGTGTCTCGCATACCGCACCGCGCGTCCTTTTGATCAAGTTTGTCTATGTTACTGATAACTATCAGAGGTCAAACATTAACATTGCCCGCGAATCGACCGCTCGAGGAATGTTGCCAAGCTTCAAGCAGGTTCCTGCGACTAGGTTGACGTGTCACTGATATCCAAACGAAGCCTTAAACATATTCGCTTCCCAATTGTTTCTATCCCTGATTGACCGCGTACTGTAACGTGTTGATACCAATCCCGAAACGGAAGAAGTCTAGATGTAAGACCTAAATTTCGCTTCACTTTGAAAGCTATTGCCCCGATCGGCATACTCTGTCGTGTCATCATGACGGCAGGAGAGTGATACACCCGCTGCCGCTGACGACGGAGCCAAGGACGGGCTTACATATACGTCAAACGTACTTTCGACGCCCGAGTACGGCGCAACACGGTCTCTGGCTTCTAGGGGGGGTATTTCGAGTAGCCCGGAAAAGCAGTTTCTATCTCCAGGCTTAGTCGTAAGCAAAGTGACACTAATTCTTACAAGGGAAATCCTCCTTACAATCCTTATATGTCCAGATAAGGCGTCCATACCTGCCCGAGCTACAATTTTAGGAAGTCGATACGCCTAGTTGATCAAACCAAGTCGCACCATAGTAGAATTCATCAAAATGCCCAGGATACAGCATCCGTTTATAGCTTTATAGGTTTCTATTACGTCCTACGCTATGGTGTCTGGGTTAGATTGATATAGATTAAGCCGGTCTCCTTTAAGTCAAAGAGTAAGGCCAGAGTTTAAAGAAGCGTATGAAGAAACAACAGGCGCTGCCGTACACTTTAACGATAGTCCAACTTTCGACTTCGCCCGAATTAAACGACATATGCGATAACCCATTGAGGACTGCATAAGAATTCGTGATAGAGGCAAACACTACTAACAACGATGACCATCTTCCTCCTCGTAAGCTATAAAGCTCACCACGAGACCAATACAACCTCGATCCCCAAGCTACACTCGTCTGAAACTTTGTGATACTCGCCACAAAGCATTTATGAAAGTTTAAGCGAGCGAGCAAGCAAGTCAGCTCCGTCCTTTGAGGAAGCGGTCAGTTTTCATCTCTAGGGGTACACATTCGATAGCCTAAGGACGATCGACTCTACATGACCATTTGGTTACTATAAACTGTGCCAACCCGTATTAGACTACTACGTACACTACTCTGACATATACATATGTTAGGACCCCTATTAAACATGGAAAAGGATGTCTTGGCCATCATGCGTGAGAAGATCATCAATGGAGGTCTCTACAAGGAGCTCTTAGAGTAACCGGGCAGTATAGAGCCGACTTTGCTAGGGTATGCACGGGTAGGGCTACCGTGGCCATACTTCAGATCCGCACTCATCGGCAGTGAACTTACCAGTTTTAAGCCTTACCATCTGTTCAAAAGGCTTTGAGTTATCTTAAACTTGATACAGGATACCTAGCTTAAGGCAATTTCATACATCCCAGAATATGCCTTTAGTCCCTCTTTACCGTGTACAGCTCTTACACAAAGGGACCGTTATGAACGGTTAGGATAGCACCATACGCATACCACCACGGTCAGTTTTCCGGCATAAGTTGGGATCCCTTAAGTATCCCATATAAACCAAGTCAAGTGTATCTACTTGCTATACGTTCCCAGGGAGGGCCGCGGGACCCGGTCTCCCTTGTCCCGATGTTTGTTAACAAGCCAACCCGAACGCTAGATTTCAAATGCATCTACACTTGTAGCCTTAGGGCTAACCACATAGCGCCACCAGTCACAGCTAGTATGGTTGAATCAGCAAGCCAAGACACTACAATGGCCCTATCGGCTTATATACCGGTACTGCTTCTTTACTGGCCCTTAACATAAAAACAAGCTAAGGTACCTAGGTCCTAGATAATTACATCTCACAAAGACAACGTGGGATAGATGTTTTTTCTTTGCCCGGTTTCATAAAACCAAGTAGCACGCATATTAGAGCTAGCTCTGCCCGCTGGTCCTTACCACCATGGCCGCGTGGTCCTCTTACCATGCATATAGGCAATGCATCATGTAAGTCACAGAGAAACAAGAGGGAAAAGTCAGCCCACCTGGCCAACTTTTCGCCTACGTGTCTCCTCCGATATCAGTCTTGCGGGGGTTCGTATAGTCCGCCATTGGAAAAGCAAACCAACTCGACCGGGTTTGGGAACCGCCACATGCAATATGTAAGCTGACCAGCATGCTCCTAGAGGAATACGAAGCCACAACATTGTATTCTAGTACTACTACCTACTTAACGGCGGTCCTCAACGCAATATCTTCGTCTAGGTGTTGAAAAGCGTACGCCACGAGCGGTGCTGGTTGCCCCAACGGATCCCGTTAGCTAGCCTTCGAGGTAGTACGTTTACTTCCTCCCTGACATCGTACACGTATGTAAGATTCAGGGTTCTGCTTGCTTACATTATTAGTTGTACTAATGTTTAGTCAGCGTGGATTTAGACCTACATGAAATAGGGGGGGGGGGGGGGGGGGGAGAAAAAAAATGTAGGATAAAAGGAAACGGGTTTATAAACGGTGCGGGGCGGCACATGTGAAAAGGGGCGAGTAAAAGGGGAAAAAAATCGGGGGGGAATTTTACG